CAGTTAATTTAGCAAAGGATAGGAATTGAATCACTATATTCCTAACACATTGTTATGAAGACATGGTACGCAAGTTATTAATTATACAGTCATTCCTCTGAATCTGCAAGGGTTCCATTCCTGAGAACCCCCGCAAATGATGAAATTCAACGAGTGCAGAGCTCATTGAAAATAAGTTAACAATCGCGGGCAGGCAATTTTTGCTCACAAATGGTGATTTTTGTTGTTACTAAGTGAATTTGCAATTCATGATTTCATGGATACAATGAACTTACTGTATATCTTAAATGTTTTGGAAAGAACACTTTTGGAAAGGAACTGACACAGGCTACAGCAACAACAATGTTGCATTTTCATGGAACAAGCTGCTCGGATGGAGACACCAAGACTATAATATTCAGAGATCAGATTTTAGTTGGAGAAAGTGTGCTGGATTTGATCTCAAACAGAAAGTCGCAGATAGCTTCCTAGATCAACAGATTTTGCCCTCAAAATGCTCTTTCTTTGAATTCCTTAAGTTTCAGAGTTGAAAGCCCACTGGAAGACCTCATTACCACAAGTGGAATTTTTGTTTAAATAAGGGAGAATTTGAAATCTATACTACTGTCCAAAACAAACATCTTATGGTCTTATATTGTTGTAGATAACTGTCCCAAATACACTCTATGATTTCTTCCCCTGCCGATTTGACTTCTTAAATTTACATAATGATTAAAATTGCACATGATTAATGTGCTGTCTTTTTTACGCACCCCTATTATATCCCAATTTATTCTCTGTCCTACAGCATAGCAACTGTTAGGGTAGCAATACACCACTCTTACCAGTGTCCTTTTTCACTTGCTATTTCTTATTTTCACCATATGGATTCTATATCATCCACTCCAATATCATTTCTTGTTATCATACTCATTCCACCTCGTACTAACAAAGCTACTCCAACACATTTCCCTTCCTGCCTGTCCATTTAAAAAGTTACATATCCGTGAATATTTAGTTCTCGGCTTTGATCTCTTTGTAACCATGACTCTATAATGGCTGTAAGCTCATACCCATTAACATCTATTTGTGACTTTAATTCATTTATTTTGTTCTGAATACTGAGTGTGCAAGAGCCAATAATTTTGCCTTATGATTTCTTCCCTTTTGATCCTATTTGGTGTGGGGAAAATGACTTCAGCTACAGATGCCGAGAAAACTGCAGATGTTGTAGATCAGAGACAAAAACAATTTGCTGGAAAAGCTCAGCAGGTCCGGCAGCATCTGTGGACAGAAATCAGAACTATGAAGGGTCACTCAATCCAAAACATTAACTGATTTCTCTCCACAGACGCAGCCGGACCTGCTGAGCTTTCTCAGCAATTTTCATTTTTGTCAGCTACAGATTTGGGACCATTTGAGAGTTATGCTTTTTGCTGAATTAAACTGTTAGTTGGTCAAAGTGCCATCTTACCAAGAGAGAGAGTTTCTGCCACTAAACTACTTTTCACTACTCTTCTGATCTTTTGCACTTCAAAAGCTAAAGCCAACATTTACCTACCCTTCCCACAAGAAAATTTAAACTCTTGCACTCAAGAAGCCATCACAGAGAACGACATAAGAGGCATCTGGCGGCAGGCAAGGTCGGTCTATTCAGAGCTCCACTCTGCTCGCTGGGACCCTTTCCTTTTCCTTTCTTTTCTCTTCTTCTTCTCTCTCCTCTCTGTGGTAATTCTATTCCCCTCCCAAACCCCCGTCCTTTTAACTACCTACCTAAGGAGTTGAGGAAGGGTCGGGTTGTGACCAGGAATCGCTTGGCAGGAGCTGAACGCACGGGCCATGTCCTGCAGCAACACCAGATCGAAGGTGAGGGTCGGAGAGACGTTGGCGGCGAGAGCAGGACGGTGAGGCAGCGGTGAGAGCGGGCCAGTGAGGGGGAAGTTGGCGGTGAGAGTGGGCCGGTGAGGCAGCGAGAGCAGCCTAGCGATGGGAGCAGCGCCTGCACCATTGTGGAGATGGGACTTGGGACTCTGAGATCTGGACTTTCTTTTTCTTGCTCACCTTTTGGCTCTGTTAAACCTTTTAATTCTGGTTTTTGTAACCAAGTGGGCACCAGTGAATGGTGACTTCTACACTTTTCACTGTACTTATGTATTTCTATACTTAGTATATGTGACAAATAAATAAATCTAAATTTAAAAAAATCTAAAATTGCTAAAAACAACAAGCTTCATGTTCCTGGCATCTCTCAATGATGGAAATTTCAAAACATAAAGCTCCATTTTTGACTTTTTTTTTCAAAAAGATTTTGTTTGCCTGAATAATATCTTCCACCTTGAGATTTTTCATAAATGTATTTAACTCTAATATTTCAAAACACTGATCTGGCCTTGTTTGGCTGCCTAACCAATTCAGCTGTCCAACCAGACTTTGCAATTTCTCCATTTCAGTTTACAAAACTTTATATCTTTTTGTAAGGCTCTACTTTGACAGAAGCAATGAGACTAACATTTTCCAATAAGATTGCAAATACAAAGTGACATTTGATCATTCTATCCGATTTCCAATCCAATATACTGGAAGTCTCCAGAATACGGATTTCCGATTTTGAATTCTACTTTTAGCTCATTTATGACAGTGCTTTCTAATTCACTGTTCCACCCAACAAAAAAAAATCACTTATTCTCATCATAATGCTGGCTGAAATCTGCCTCTCATGTCACCAGCAAAACATGCTTTTAATTGAAATAGCCTAATTTTAATAAGACAGACCTTACTGACAAGTACTGATCTCTAGAGGTATCATTTAGGCCATATACACATTTATTTAACTTCTAAAATGTTCCCAATGCATTTGGCGCCTCTTTTGGATCACAAAACACACCCCATGTGAACTGATCTTCCTGCAGAAATGCAGCTTTAATATCAATTGATCTACATTCCCAAGTAGTTATTGCTACAAAGAAAATGTTCAAAAATTACTTTTCCTGCAGTAGGTGAATCTACTTTTATACTTGATCCCAGTTCCATCAAGAGATACTTTTCGGCGCACACCATATCATGTGATGGAATTGATTGTCTGCTACTTGGTAGCTCTGTATACCCCCATATTCTCTCCAACTTACGTTCTTGTTGCTTGGCATGTTTTATTAACTTTTCTTCTGGTTTGATCATGGCAACGAAACCCTGGCTCCTGGTAGTTTCACATTTTTTGTCCTTGTTAAAACATGCACTTTTTCCTGCTTTTTCGGACTGCTACTGTTTTCTTTCAACAGGCATGTTTGCTACCAAATCTTATACTACATTTTCTTACATTCCATCTTTGAGCTCCCAATCAATGCGCTTAATCTCATGCCCCTCATCCTGTATTTTCAGCCAGCTTTTATAATTTCCAGTTCCCTTCCCTGCTCTACAAAAAACAGTCACATTTCTTCACTGAGTAGCCCTTTTTTGGTAAATGTTTAACTTTAGTACTCATTTCTGACAGTTGTTCTTTGGGACCAATGGCCTCATGTTGACCATCAGAACTGTCTGAACCTGTCCCATCATCAAATAAACTGTCAGTTGGCATTTGATCCTCATAGCTGTGCAATATTTTCATACAAGAAATACTTGTCTCAGTCTTTCAAAATTTACCAAAATCTGACTACGCCTCATAAGCAGTCAACAAATCATCTTTTTGATAAATTTTGTTCAGGAAAGTTAATTCTGTCCAAACCTTCATCTGCTCCAATTCTGAAATAAAACTTTGCTTCTTATCTTGCTTTGGTATAGTAACAAAGTACTCAACCACATCTTGTTTCCTCTTTGGTAACATAGTTTCCAAGGTCCACACTGTAACTTCATTCTTCCACGGGTCTTAAGGTTCAGATCATGTTCCTAGCAGGCACCTAATTGGGCACCTTCCCTTCTGGCACATCTTATCCTGGGACAGCATTGTCCTGCCCCGTCTGGAGATTCCGGCTAATTAGAGGCCATAGTTGCTGCCAGGACCCCACCATCAGACAGAAGATTGGCATGAAGACAGGTAGGTGTTGTACACGGTGAGGTTTATAGGATTGGGAACGAGCAGCTCAGGAACCAGGCAAGAGGTTATAGGTCTCAGAGGCCCCAAGAGTGAGGGGTCCCCACTGACCTTGGCCCTGCACGAATGAATGCAGGGGGAAGAATTCCTACTGCCACCCCTCCCAAATCAACACCATGCCCGCACTGGTTCACCACATCAGGTAGGCTGGGTCTTGTACTTCCTGAAGTACTTGCAGCCCAGTTTGGAGGAGACCTTCATGTGAGTTAACAGGGAAAATGTCAGGAAGGTTGACCATAGGCCTTCACATGACAGAACAATATTTCAGACATGGTGGGAAGGAGGTAGGTATCTCCCCGGTACCAACTCACGCTATTATTTGCCCTCCCCGCAACTTCCCAGATGAGGAAGAAACACTGCCTTTATTGTGACAGTGGAGGAGTGAGACAAGGGATCAGTTCACCCCTCCTTAACCAGTCGTCATAACATTTAACAGCATGGCACATATCATTCTTTCCCAGAAAACAATATGGCATGAAGAATCAATTCGGTCTGCTCAGTCAAAAAAATATCCAAATCAAAAAAGCTGGGTTTCTCCACAGAATCAGTTAGCTCAGGATGCTTGGATGCTGAGAATTGCAGTTACATAAACTCGACTAAGATTTAAAATCATAAATGCAGTGCTCAATAAAAACAGATACAAAGAGGTACTTTGTGCCAAGATCAAGACAAAGTGGAATAGAATAATAGAGGGAAGAAAAGTGTAGGGATATGGCAAGCGAGCTGAGGAGTGAAATAAGGTGGGTTGCTCTTTCAAAGACCTGGTTCAGATGAGATGGCTGAATGGTTTCCCTCTGTGCTATGCTATTCGAATTCTAAAGTACACCCTTCACATGGTACAACAGTCAAGGATTTGCTGTGTTTTATCAAAGGAACATTTATTGTCTCTGCTCCTTCTGACTATTGCCAATCCTCAGCTATAAGTTTACAAACCCACCGTGTGGCCTGCATTCTCCAGCAGCTGTTTAGTTTCCATTACTGCACGTTTCATGCTGGCGTTGGGGATCCAAAAGTCATCACTCTCATAATAACCTATCCTCAAAGGTTTAGAGCTAGAAAATACCTAAAATGAAAGAACATACATTAAATGAGACAAGAGTGATATTTACATACTCAGTAGAACACTTGAGAGCTCTACAAATATTCAAGCGTGACGTGTTTTAATATCTTTTTTACTCATTCATGGGATTGGGGCATCATTGGCTAGGCCTGTATTTATAGCCCGTCTCTAATTGCCCAAAGGGCAGTTAAGACTCAACCACATTGCTGTGGGTCTCGAGTCACATGTAGGCCAGACCAGGTAAGGATGGCATATATCCTTCCCTAAAGGATTTTAGTGAACCAGGTGGGTTTTTCTGACAATCAACAATGGATTCATGGTCATCATCAGATTCTTAATTCCAGGTTTTTTTTTAATATTGAATTCCAATTCCACCATCTGCCACGGCAGAATTCAAACCCATGTCCCAAGGCTATTACCTGGGTCTCTGGATTAACAGTCCAGCGATAATATCACTGGGCCATCACCTCCTCTATAGAATTTTTATCAGAGTTGGGTCGATGACTTGAATTCTGAGCAGAACCGAGATAGAGGCTCGGGTTTTCAAGATTCTGTACATGTCAAATAAAAGACATAAAAATGGTAAAAACTGTAGACAAGACCCAATTCTGTGATTCCTATCCCCATTCAATTTTTGACAATAAGAGTGCAGACTAAAGAAGGGTCCTGACCAAAAACATCAGCTTTCCTGCTCCTCTGACGCTGCCTGGCCTGCTGTGCTCCTCCAGCTCCATACTGTGTTATATCTGAGCCTGCACTCCTGCCTTAGTCAGCTACCTTGAAAAATTCCCATTGAAGAATCCATTAGATGTCAAAATAAATACACAGTCACTAAAAGATAGGCATGCCAACCTGCTTTTGGTCTTATACAGTTGTCAGTTGGACTCTGTATGAACGTTTGGCTGAGCTCCAAGAATGACTCTGCAGGAAACTGTTTACACAGTCGCATTAGTTGATAAATAGCTAGACAACCTTCTCATAAGTTGATATTTCTTTTCATTCTTTTCTACATTTTTCAACATCCATCCATTTCTTGAACAAGTTTTTCCTTAATATGAAATTCACTGTCTATGTTTGATTGCCAAGATGGTGGACAGGAAAAACTTGTGGCTGTAACTGTTGCTCCTTTTTCGAGGTATTTTCAGAGTTGGAGCTGATTTCCTTGAATTCTAGGAGCAGCAATTATTGTTTTAAAGGCTGTTGCACTGTTTTGGAACTTTGGGTAAACAAATTAAAACAATGGCACTTTTAAAAAGTGGAAGAGAGACAAAGGCAGTGACCTATTGGGAAGTGAACGAAATGGAGAAATAAATCTGCACTGCTGTCTGATCCAGCAGTGAATCTGCACAGCTCACTGTTATGCTGTTTGATTTCAAATATCTCTAGATATCGGAATTAGTCGAAAAAAATAAACAAACAGCAAAGTTCACAGCTGGCCTCAGAGAAACCTGTGTGGGAGATCAGGGGAACAGCTAAGTATGTCTTTAAAGTTCAAAGTTTTGGCAAAGATCTGTAGCTTGGGTCGTGGGTGATGTCGTTGACTTGCTCGCCGAGCTGGCTCGTTCTCGTTCAGACATTTCGTCACCATGCTAGGTGACATCATCAGTGGAGCCTCCGATGAAGCGATGTTATTCTACTCCACTTGGAATTTATATTGTTTGGGCTGTTATAGTGAGTAGTGTCATTTCCAGTTTTGATCTATATGGGTTTGTGTATGGGGTCCAGTTCTATGTGTTGGTTGATTACATTACAGGTGGAGAACCATACCTCTAGGAATTCCTGTGCATGTCTCTATTTGGCTTGGGCTACTATGGTTACCTTGTCCCAGTTAAACTGATGGCCTTCATTGTCTGACTGGACCAATGTTAAGCAGAGTTCGTCGTGCCATTTTGCTGCTAGTTGATGTTTATGTATTCTGCAGACCCAACATGGTTTACAAAATACCATGCAATGACTGCCACAAACATTACACCGGACAGATAGCAAGGAAACTACTCATCAGAATACATGAACATCAACTAGCAGCAAAATGGCACATTTTACCTTAATATCGGTACACTCAGACAGTGAAGGCCATCAATTTAACTGGGACAAGGTAACCATAATAGCCCAAGCCAAACAGAGACACACACACAGGAATTCCTAGAGGCATGATTCTCCACCCATAATGCAATCAACAAACAAAGAATTGGATCCCATATACAAACCCATACAGATCAAAACCGGAAATGACACTACTCACCATAATGGACCAAACAGTATAAATTCCAAGTGGAGTAGAATAACACCGCTTCATTGGAGGCTCTACTAATGATGTCACCTAGCACAGTGACAAAACGTCTGAACAAGAACGAGCCAGCTCGGCAAGCAAGTCAACAACCTGGCTCTTTAAAGTGTCAGAGAGTGGTGCGTGTATGGAATCAGCCGCCAGAAGAAGTGGTGGAGGCTGGTACAATTACAACATTTATGCGGCAGCTGGATGGGTATATGAATAGAAGGGTTTAGAGGGACATGGGCCAAATACTGGCAAGTGGGAGTAGATTTATTCAGGATATCTGGTCAGCATGGATAAGTTGGACCAAAGGGTCTGTTTCCATGCTGTACATCTCTATGACTCTATGTCAGCTTGGTGAGAAGCTAAGAGGGGCAACATTATAAATGAGATTTTGAAATAGCATTTTTATTTTAAGTTCACGAGCATTTCAAAGACTTGCCAGTGTTATTTTATGGTTTCATGTTACTGAGCAAGTAGACATAAGAGATATGAAGGAGCAGAGAGGGCATCTTATATCTTTTTGCCTGTGTCAGCTGCACTGAGCTTTTGGAGGATTTATCACTGCGAGACCTAATGAAATCTCTTAGCACAGCTGATTTTGTAGGAGCAGAATTATACAAAACATACAATTCGAATCTGCATTTCACAATAGTCGGTTTCTTAAAATGAATGGATACAAAATCATGGCATATATTGGAATTATAAATAGCTTTTCCAATTGTATGAAATCCTATGTTGAGGCCACAAATTCATAACATTTCCCTTAGATCTGTTTGATAGGTAGAGTCATAGAATCCCTACACTGTGGTAAGAGGCCATTTGGCCCATCAAGCTTGTACCAACCCTTGGAAGAGCATCCCACCCAGATCCAGATCCCAACCCTATCCCTGTAACCCCACATTTTATCATGGTTAACCCACATAGTTTGTACCTCCCTAGGGACTACGGACAATTTACTCTGGCCAAGCCACCTAGCCTGCTCATCCCTGGACACTTGGGACTATATATCATGGCCAATCCACCCAACTGGCACATCTTTGGATTAGTAAGCTAACCGAGAAGTGTTAGGCACTGAAAATGTCAAAAAATCATTTTCTTCATAGTGACCTAACTCACCTTGAGCCATAATTATTGATGGCCTACCACAATAATGCCCCTCTTATTCTAAAAGGAATCAGAAACTTTGGAAATTGTTTCGGATGATGTGGGGTGGAGGCAAGAGTGCGAGCAGGAGGAAAGACGAAAGGATAAGATAAAAGTACAGTTCAACTCACACATTACCTCATCGTTGAAGGGAATAGGTGGCACAGAGGGATCCAACTGGAACATATCTTCACATAACAGAGCTCTCATGCACAATGCCAAACTATCCACATCTCTGGCCATTGGGCCAACTGCCGCACTGGCTAAAAAAAAAATTGCATTTTTTAAAAACATCTTTGTATTCTACCAGGACAGTAGGCTACCTTTCTCCTCTCCATTTGTGTCTTTCAATTAGTTTGGAAAGCTAATAATATCCTTTCAAGGATTTCATTTGCCTTTTTCCCTCATCCATCTGGTGTCCATTCATTATTGGACAGGAAAACCATTTCCGAAATACTGGGGCATGACTGGCTGAAATGTTCAAAAACAAGTGTTCAGACAAGGAACAAATTGAGACTCAATAAATATTCACTACTGTCAGGAATTTATAGCTCCACACCAGAGCGTTATCCATATGCTCAGGCTCAAACTGTGATCAGAATCTATAACTCAGGAATCTGTTGACAAAATCAAGGGAAGTAACTGACTTCACATGCTTACAGATGTGGTGCCAATCAAGCAGGGGCTGCTTTGGCCTGGATGGTGTCAAGCTTCTTGAGTGTTGTTGGAACTACATCCATCCAGCAAGTGGGGAGTATTCCAACACACTCCTGACTTGTGCTTTGTAGATGATGGACAGACTTTGGGGAGTTAGGAGGTGAGTTACTCACCACAGTATTCCTAGCCTCTGACTTGCTGTTGTAGTCAATATTTATATCATGAGTCAAGTTGAGTTTCTGGTCAGTGGTAAACCCCAGGATGTTGACAGTAGGGAATTCAGTGATGGCCATTGTATGTAAAGGGGCAATGGTTAGACTGTCTCTTAGAGTCATACAGCTCTACAGCACTGAAACAGACCCTTCAGTCCAACTCATCCATGTCGACCAGATACCCTAAACTATTCTAGTCCCATTTGCCAGCATTTGGCCCATATTCCTCTAAACCCTTCCTATTCATGTACCCATCCAGATGCCTTTTAAATGTTGTAATCATACCAGCCTCTACCACTTCCTCTAGCGACTCATTCCATCCACGCACCCACCCTCTGCGTGGAAAAAGTTGCCCCTTAAGCCCTTTTGCATCTTTCCTCTCTCAATTTAAGCCCATGCCCTCTAGTTTTCGACACCCCAACCCTGGGGAAAAGACCTTGGCTATTCACCATATCCACACTCCTCATGATTTTATAAACCTCTATAAGGTTACCTCTGTTTGTGTTTCAGTTTGGAGTCAGACTGGTTTTATTTTTAAAGTAGGAATTTATAAAACACCAGACTGACCACTGAATTATAAATTCCTACTCTAGAAATAAAACCAGTCTGACTCCAAACCAAAACACAAACAGATTCTAAACAAGCCTCACACCTAACATGCATTGTCTGACCTAAAATGTCCACCTCTTCCTTACACTGATAAAACCTTTAGTTCTCTCAGGGCAGTGACTTGAAAGAAATTCAGGGATATATATATATTGAATATGTTAATCAATTAAAACCTTCTAACTGATTAAACAGCATCTGAGGTTTGTTTAATACATCCTCATCAGTGAGGTGACCCTTTGATCTTTTATTTATAAATACTGTGTTTGATGCCACTTCTCTCACTAACACCTAAAGGAGAAGCGAGGCTCTGAAAGCTTGTGTTTTCAAACAAACCTGTTGGCCTATAACCTGGCGTCATGTGATTTCTGGCCTCACATTTTTAAAGTTTAATCAAGAGACAGGTATAATCAAAAAAGAACCCACTCTACTCACTAACGTAGATTTACAAGTAGTAAGGTTACACACTAAGACTAGCCACTTAGCTGCTCCCCTACCATAAATGCCCCCACACAGGTTTCTCCAATGTCAGTTGTGAATTCCACCATTTATTTTTCTTAGATGAACTCCAATATCCAGAGATACTTGAAACCAAACAGCAGAGGCAGTTAGCTGTGCAGATTCACTGCTGGTTCAGACAGTTGTGCAGGTTTATTTCTCAGTCTGCTTCACTTCCCACCTGGTCACAGCTTTGTCTCTCTTCGTTGAGTTTCTCACCATGATAGGCGGTAGCTGACCACGTGCCCGGTCAGACTTTGAGTGGAGAAGGTTCAGTGGCGTTTCTGTGGCACAAATGTTACTTGATACTTGCCAGTCCAAGCCTGGTTATTGTCTAGGACTTGTTGCATTTGAACATGGACTGCTTCAGTATCTGAAGAGTCGTGAAAGGTGCTGAATATAGCGCAATCATCGGCAAACATCTCCACTTCTGACCTTATGATAGAGGGAAGGTCATTAAGATGCAGCTGATGATAGATGAGCCTCAGACACTACCCTGGGGAATTCCTGCAGAGATGTCCTGTAACAGACAAATAACCTCCAACAACCACAAGCATCTCCCTCTGTGCCAACAGTGGAGATTTTGCCCCCAATACCCTTTGATTCCAGATTTGATAGGGCTCCTTGATGCCACACCTTTGGAATTCAGCTCTTTTGTCCACATTTGAACCAAGGTGAGGAGCTGAGTGGCCCTGGCGGAACCCAAACTGGGCGTCACTGAGCAGGTTGTTGCCAAGCAGCACCTGCTTGGCAACACTGTTGGTGACACCTTAAATCACTTTACTGATGATCAAGAGTAGATTGATGGGGCAGTTATTAGCCAAGTTGTATTTGTCCTGCCTTTTGTGTACAGGACATACTTGGGCAATTTTCGATATTGCCAGGTAGATGCCAGCGTTGTAGTTGTACTGGAACAGCTTGGCCAGGGGTATGACAAGTTCAGAAGCACAAGTCTTCGGTACTTTAGATGGAGCGATGTCAGGGCCAACAGCGTTTGCAGTGTCCAGTGTCGCTAAGTGTTTCTTGATATCCGAAGTGAATCAATTTGTCTGAAGACCTGGTATCTGTAATGCTCGGGATCACTGGAGGAGGTTGAGATCGTTCATCCACTTGGCACTTCTGGCTGAGGATTGCTGCAAATACACTGGCCTTATCTTTTGTATTTGTGTTCTGAGCTCTTCTGTCATAGAGGAGGGGAATATTTATGGAGCCTCCTCCTCCATCGTGTTGTCTAATTGTCCACCACCATTCACGACTGGATGTGGCAGGACTGCAGAAGTTATTATGATCAGTTGCTTGCAAGATCATTTAACTCTGTTTATTACTTGCTGCTTATGCGGTTTGCCATGCAGTAGTCCCGTTTCGTAGCTTTATTATAAATCAGTGAGTCATAGAGTCATACAGCACAGAAAGAGACCCCAACTTGTCTGTGCCAACCAAATATTCCAATCTGACCTAGTCCCATTTGCCAGCATCTGCCCTGTATCATACTAAACTCTTCCTATTCATATGCAAATCATTTTAAATATTGTAATTGTACCAGCCTCCACCACTTCCTCTGGCAGCTCACTCCATACATGCACCACCCTCTGTGTGAAAAAGCTACCCATCAGGTCCTTTTTAAATCTTTCCCCTCTCACCTTAAACCAATGCCCTCTAGCTTTGGACTTGCACCCACACCCCCCTTAGGAAAAAGACCTTAGCTATTCACCCAATATATGCCCCTCATGTTTTTATTTACTTCTATAAAGGTCACCGCCCAGCCTCCATTAGTCGATCCTAAAATGGCACATTCCCATCCAATCTTGCAATTTACTGACAAACCCAGGTCCATGCAAATTCTGACCTATGATTCCATGTAGATTGTCCCTTGTCATTACCAGCATCAAAAAGGCTCCTCAACATAGGTTTTACATCTAGTTAAAACTAATATAAATCTTTCTAATAGTGTGTTTTAGCAAAGATCTGTAGCTTGGGTTGGGGTTGGAGTTGTTGGTTAGTTCACCGAGCTGACCGGTTTCTGTGCAAATGTTTCATCTCCCTTCTAGGTGACATTGTCAGTGCTGTGTAGTCTCTGTTGAAGCGCTGTTGCTCTGTCCCACTCTGAATTTATATGGTCCAGTCTGTCATGGTGGGCAGTCTTGTTTCCGGTTTTGTACTGTAAAGATACGTAGATGGGGTCTATTTCAACATGTTTGTTAATTGCATCGATAGTTGAAATACCTCAGAGCTGCGCAAAACCAAACAGGAACACCTAACAGAGTCTTTGCAAACAATGTTCATCCTAACAGCTTCATCCGCCGATGCCTGGCAAACAAACAACACCAAGAAGAGACTGTACACTCCCAACACACTGGCCACCCCACCCTATGTTAGAAACACATGAGAACTGACTACAAGACTCCTATGACCTCTTGGAATAAGGACAGCACACAAACCAACAGCCAAACTTTGCCAGTTACTCTCAAAGGCAAAAGACCCCATACCCACAATCAGGAGGACAAATGTGACACATAAAATACCATGCAGCAACTGCACGAAACACTACATAGGACAGACAGGCAGGAAACACGCCACCAGGATACATGAACACCAACTCGCAGCAAAAACAGCACGCCCAATTCTACCTCCTTTCATTCATTTTGACAGAGAAGGACATCAATTTGACTGGGACAAAGTTACAGTACTGGGACAAGCAAGACAATGACAAGCACGAGAATTCCTGGAGGCCTGGCTTTCAGAGTGGGAGCGAACAACAGCGTTTCAACGGAGGCTACACAGCACTGACGATATCATCTAGAAGGGAGATGAAACATTTGCATGAAAACCAGTCAGCTCGGCAAACCAACCAACAACTTCAACTGCAACCCGAGCTACAGATCTTCTTTAAAACGTTAAACACCTACAGATGAAACATGCTCAAACGAGCCCAAAAATGGGAAACCTATGCCAACTGGCCGAGCACTACCCGTGAACCACTCAATTTTCTACATAAATACCTCAGAAACCAGGTACTACCTCGCAGCGTCAAATACAGCCCCTTAACAACTCACAAGCAAGAAAAACAGCTAAACAAAATGGCCGCAGGATGCTACAAGTTATGATAACTGACACCCATAACCGCCTCCACAAATATGAACGAGAAATTTTGCGCCAAAAATCTTTATACTCGAACTCAACCAACCAAGAATGGACCACAACTCTCGAACAGGCCATCCAGGTCAAGCAAAACAGGACCAGAACCAAAAAGAGACTCACACTACAAGAAAAACAGACAAAACTGATGCATA